TCATCAATGACATTTCGATACAAGAGCTGGTCAGAAATAGCAACCTTGTCTTTACTAATCCACCACAAAACAGCTGCGACGGAGACAACTGCATGTTGGACACTGGTGAAACGTTATATTCCAAGATACAGCAGTCAAACCGGTCCACTGCATTTGCTTCATAGCAACGTTTTAAGACATTCTTCGCTATTGCCACGCCTTTTTCTGCCAACCCCTTGCTTTGTGGATACCTTGAGCTTGAAAATTTAAGCTATATATTGCAGTCATTCGTAAATTTTTCAAATGTCAACGAACCAAATTTACTATTATCACACCTAATAGTTGATGGAAATCCAATTAGATGAAAGATACCTAATAACATATAATCGGACAAGCATTTGTTCGATATAAATGTGCTCTAAACTTTAAAAAAATAATAACTATTAATTTAAAGTAAAAAACAGAACCAACACAATTTTTTGCGCTCAACGCATAATCGGACAAAATGAAGCAGCCATGCTAAAAATGCTGTTATTTTACAAACAATAACAATAAATAATTATTTTATTTTTATGTAATAATATTAATAATCTGTAATAATTCTCACAACATATATAACAATTAAGTAATATCAAATAGTATTACAATAGTACCAAATGGAAAGAAATCTACTATCGAAATTAGGCAATTAATAATTAAAATGAATTTTGAAGGTAAAACCGTTAGAGAAATTGCTAATTTAGTTGGAATAAGTCAATCTACTATTCAAGACATTATCAAGAGGTCCCATGATGAGTTTAGGCTGGCCAATAAGATTAGAGTAGCTCAAGGCGAAATATTAAATGATCGAGAAGAGCGTTTGATATTTAAAGAAATAAAGAAAAATTCTTTTAAAACCGCAAAAGACTTTAAATTTTCATTAAAATTCTGCTCTGGGAAAGATGTATGCTTAAATACTATTCGCAATATATTACATTAATCCAATTATTAAGGAAGAATTACCATAAAGAAGCCGTTTATAAGTATTAAATATAAAAATAAAATAATAAACTACGCCAAGGAGTACTTACTAACAACAGAAAGCTTTTGGAATCAAGTAAATTGAGGGGAAATCATCTTAAACACATTTCCATTCATGATTTTAGTTTTTTCAAGCTTTTGTTCACTGACGAAAGTAAATTTAAGTATGATGTAAGATGTTGATAAGATGTTTGTATCTGGTAAACCAAATGCAGAATTCAATCAGCCCAATATAAAAGCTATTCTAAAAAATGGAGGAGGCTCTGTTATGGTTGGTGGTTGTATGTAGAGTACAGGAGACGGCAATTTGAATTTTATTGATAGTTAAATGAATAAATTTGGCTACATTCATATTTTGAAACAGAATGTAAAGCAAGGGGCAAAGATATTGGGAATCGAAAAAAATTTCGATTTGATCAGGACAACGATCATAAACATACGTCAGGCGTATTAAAACTTTGGTTCATCCAGAATTGTGTTGGTTTTGTTTTTTACTTTAAATTAATAGTTATTATGAGAAATGTTTTAATTTATTTTATAATTTAGATAGATAAGTATGTTAAGTGTTAATTAAAGCAAAAAAAAAATAATATTTTTAGCATATTTTCTTAAAGTTTAGAGCACATTTATATCGAACAAAAGCTTGCCTGATTATGCGATGGAGTCACTGTATATTATGTGTTCAGATGTTTTATTTTTAAGTTTTTTACAAATCAAAAAATTTGAATACGCATCAAAAACTGACACATAATCCCCTCCCGCATACTCGAACAGATGAACTGCAGCCGTCTGAAAAGGATATGCGGCTGCACTGTCTTGTTTTAATGGTTCCTTTTGATTGTTACGTTTGAACTGTTCACAAACTTTACAGGCTGCCACAGTTTTCTTAATCTGTGTACTCATATTTGCCCAATAGTAATGTTTCCGTACTCTAGCTAACGTTTTCTGAACTCTCAAATGTGGTTCGTATAGCTATTGACAAATTCATTTTTGCAATTTTGTTGGTATTACCAATCAGTGATCTTTGAATTACAGCTCCTTTTCATGGTGTAATTTCGCTTTTGCTCTAAAAAATCTTTACTAAATTCATCCAACTGATGTTATCCTGGCCACTGTGTTGTAATGTATTCACATATACGTTTGAAGTTTTCATCTTCATCCAAAATTTCTCTATATTTTTTGTAATTTTCCTCTGATAAGCATACGCTTTCCACTACAGAATGAATATTAATTGCTAACTCTTCATTTTTTTCCGTTTCATCTAGCTGTGCTCTAGACAGACAAATCACAACTAACAACTCCTTTCCGGGCTTATACACTATCTGTAACTGTATTTTAACAACATTACAAACATTCTTTGCTGTAGTAAGCGGACGTACGTTGTACAACACGGAACAAGAGAAGAGCACCTGGCAGAAAAAGGGCGGCAAGATAAGTGTTTGTGTAAGATTAATAATTATTGTGTTGTATTGTAATTAGAGAAATAAATTGAATGGAAATAATATAGAACTGTATTTATGTGTGACTAGCGAAGTTACTACATTTGCAGTCTTGCTGAAACCTCATCTGTCTTTTTTTATTACGGTTTCTAACAGTCTGTGATCACTTTCCACGTTAAATTTCCGTCTGTATAAAAAATAATGGAATCTCTGGCATGCAAATACAATTGCAAGCAACTCCTTCTCAATCTGTGCCCATTTCTGTTCATTTTTCGCCAAAGTTCGTGACGCATAAGCCACTAGGTGACCATCTTGTATCAATAACCATCCCAGCCCGTCTTTCGAAGCATCTGTCTGCACAGTAATTGATTTTTTTGGATCAAAACAGACAGTACAGGGTTTGATGTAATTATCTTTAACAATTCGTTTAATTCTTTCGCGTGTTTATTTTTCCATTCAAATATGACATTATTTTGTTAGTTTTCTTAATGCCGCTGATTGTTTTGAAAAATTTGTAATAAATTTTCTCACATATTTAAACATACCTAGCACGCGTAAGACATCATTTCTGTTTTCTGGAATTTTGATCTTTAGAACTGCCTCACGGTATTTTTCTGTCGGTTTGATTTTGCCATCACAAATATTATGAATTCAACATAATTTGTTCGATATTGTACTTTATCTTTGTTAAACTTAACCCCGTGCAATCGCGTACATTCAAGAACTTCACCTAATATCCTATCATACTGATCTTTGCTTCCCGTCATTATGAGTACATCATCAAAGTAGATAATAACTCAGTTGATACCCCCAAAAATTTTGATCATTTTCTTTTGAAACGTCTTCGGAGAGCTGTTTAACCCGAACGGAACCCTCTTGAATTTAAATCTACCAAAGGGTGTCCTAAACGTGGTTAACCCAGCGCTTTTCTCATCGAGTTCCATATGCCAAAAGCCGTTAACTAAATCAAGACTAGTAAA